ATAAAAAAAAATATTCATATTTATTTAAATATATTCGCATGTTTTGCGTTAAACTTAAAAGATTTTTTTCATGGCCTAAAACCTAACCTTTTTAATTAAATAGGTTTATCGGTTTGGCCTATTACCACCCCATCCTAGATGTGAGAAAATCATTTCTCTCCTTCATTCTCTATCCTCTCTTCTGATCCCTCTCTCTCCTCTCTCCATCCACTCGCCAGACCCACCATGAAAACAACATAACACCAACTTTATCTCACCCTTTCAGATTCACACGGCCAAAATTTTCAGAAAAGGATGAACATCATATTATGTTCATCAACTTCTCACCCATATTTTTTCTTCATGTGTCCAAATAACATAAACCCAAACTAACCTAACCTAATCCAAACTTCTGAGCACGAACGAACAATCAAAATCAACAAATAAACTCCCAAAACCTTAGATCAAAAAACCCAAACAAAAACCTAACTCTAAAAAAACGACCACACTCATCAATCAAATCACAAAATTAATGCAATTCAAGGTTCCACGACAATCAATAATGAACGATTGGCATAATAAATGGTGAATGTTGTATGTTATGATGTGGAATGTATGGCTTGTTTGATGAACCGCGTTTCTGCATTTTGTTTAACCAATTTGCTTATTTTGATTTTTGCTTAATTGATTTTAACTATAGACACTAGGTATGTTGTATTTTGATGGATGGCATGAAAAGACTATGGTTTACGTTAGAAATTACGTGCGCTGCTGCTGCTTAATTCTTTTTCATTTTGCTTGTATTTCAATTCTCTTATGGGATGTGTACGTGTTTATGGATGATGATGCTTGCTTGGTGCCAATGATTCATGTATGCCTAAACTTCTTCTATGTGGTGTGTATGGTGTAGGGCACATTAGTGATGATATGAGCAAGGCATAGAAGTAACCAAGATAGTGGAAATGAAGGCAAATGAGAGATGTCAATGAGTACAACATGAAGGTGATGATGATATGTTGATATGATGATATGATGATGAAGAGAATGGAAATGTGCGCAGAGATGGATGATGGAAAAACGTGGGGGCTTCCACAATTTTGGAGACTCTTGCTTAAATTTTGTCACTTTTATGACTAAAATGTAACAAATACCTTGTGTATCTAATTTTAAAAACAATGCAATAAAAACTTCATTATGTATATTTTTTGAATTTAATGTAAAGGTATAAACAATGCAATTTTAATTTGGACTATTTTAAAAGTACCTTATTCCATTATGTAAAAAACAAGAATGTAGAAACTTGTTTTAAAATGATTAATGGAATAATGACTTAAAAGTAAATGTGAAGCACTCCTAATAACAAGTTTTTCTCGCCTTAATTTTTCTGAAGTTGAAGAATGTCAAAGAGGGACTTAGAGTAATAGCTTACAAATCAAACATTAATGACTTGCAAAGGCACTAAATCTTTAGCAAAAAGACCAAAAGAGATGCAAAATACACATATGCATGAGATGATGATTGTTTCAATTGATCAATTGATTAAGGGTAAAATATAATACGTATTAAACTAATGTTTAAATGCAAGAATAAGAGTAAATGTCATATGATTTAGGACAAAAATGGATACTTAAATAACAAGGTTATGTATCAGATAAATGCCCATGACCATAGATCAAATGGCTTATTATGAATGCAGGTAAATGTAACTAATATTATGCAATGCAATAGGTTAACAGTAAACAGATGGTAGAATAAAATTGAGGTATGACATTGTTTTTTTCTCCAGGAAAGATTGGTCCACAAAGTTGAATGACACATTTTGTGCATATAGGACAGCTTATAAAACTCCTATAGGCACCACACTTTCAAGCTTATCTATGGTAAATCTTGTCATCTTTCGGTAGAATTAGAGCACAGAGCCTATTGTCCATCAAAGCCCTAAACATGGATCATACAGCCGTCGAAATTAAAACAATGTTAGATCTACACGAGCTGGAAGAGTTGTGGTTAGATACGTATGAAAATGTCTTGATCTACAAAGAGATGACGAAGAAGTGGCATGACAAACGCATCACCAAGAGAGAGTTTAATGGGGAAGAGCTCGTATTATTCTTAAATTCTAGACTGAGATTATTTTCAGAAAAACTTTGGCCCAGATGGTTAGGACCATTTGAAGTAACAGGATGAGCAGTGGAAATGTGGAGTAAGTCCACTGTGAAGTACTTAGTAAATGACCAAATGTTGAAATATTACCACCCATCTAACAATGTGTTAGGACAAGGTTGTACATTAGTCATTTGCACCCCCCACCCCTCCCCGATGGTTGAGCTTTAATGAGTCGAGCTAACAACGTAAAATAAAGTGTTGTGTGGGAGGTAACCCACAAATTTTTATTTTTAAATTTTCTTTAAGTATCAAGAATAAAAAAGAGGTCAACCTTAAAAAGAGACGAGGAGTTATTGAGCAAAATAAATGAAAGGAGTAAGTTGTGAGGTGACAACCATTCAAAAAATTGAAATAACACAATTCTACAAGTATGACGGTTCGATCGTCACTATGTTGGCGCATATCAGCTAAATTCCAAACAATGACACTTGGACCGTCAGGTTGTCAAGGTCGCATTTGACATTCGCATTTCGTTCCTTTTCTCATTTAATCACATTTAATCCCCTTTAAACCCACTAAAGCCAAAATCTGACTTTTCCCTTTTGTAGTACACTAAAACTCGTGCCCCGTCTTCATTTTCTCTCATATTTTCAAACTTCATCTGCTCAAAACAAACCTCTCGCAACAAAACTCCATTAAACCTTCACCTCAAAATAGGGATGGCAACAGGGCGGGTCGGGGCCGGATTTTACTATACCCGCACCCACACCCGCCTCCATGTAACACACCCGTCCCTGCCCCCAAACCCAATCGGAGATAAAAATTTACCACCCAGACCCGCCCCCAGTAGAGAACGGGTGCACCTGCACCCGCCCCCACCCGAAAAAAATTAATTTCCTTTTAATTGCAATAAAAATTAATAATGTAATTAAAAATTTGATTATTTTAATAAATTAATTATTTATTTAATTAAAATTTTAATTAGTAAATGAATATTAATTTAATTAATTTAATTATTTTAATTGCAATAAAAGTATTAATAATTTAATTAAAAATATAATTAATAAATGAATATTAAAATAAGTAAAATAAGAGAATTAAACTAAAATGCATTATTCGGGGGCGGGGGCGGGTCTTTGTGTCTCCTCGCACCCGCACCCGTAATTAAAAGTCAGGTTTTCCCCGCACCCGCACCCGTACCCACTCAAACCAGATTTCCCCCGCTAATTTCGGAGCGGGTTCGGGCGGGCCCCGACGGGTCCGAATTTTGTTGCCATGCCTACCTCAAAAACTCCATTTTCTCTCATCTCTCAACCAAATCAAATTTTGTAACCACCACCACATCCCCAAAACATAAACTCCACTTCAAAAACACACATCTCCCTCATGTTCCATTAAAATCCAAATTCGGATGCACCCTCTAAACTCACCAAAAATCAAACTTTTTCCACCATACATCCTAAGATCGAAGTGGATACCTTCACCTCAAAAACTCCATTTTCTCTCATCTCTCAACCAAATCAAATTTTGTAACCACCAAAATCACCACCACATCCCCAAAACATAAACCCCGCTTCAAAAACACACATCTCCCTCATTTTCCATTAAAACTCAAATTTCGGGTTCACCCCTAAACTTAGCAAAAACTAAATTTTTCCACCATGCATCTCATCGAAGTGGATACTTGAGAATTGCATTTTGACACACTAGAGCAGCGGATGTGTTACCAAACTCTCTATCAGCGAGAAATTATCCCAACCATGTCTTGTATTAGAATTTTAGGTTTTTTTGAAAGTGTACACTTTATGCTAGACATAATCGGATGGACACACTTTGTCAATCTACGACATTCTACTTTGAAAGTGTACACTTTATGCTAGACATAATCGGATGGATACACTTTGTCAATCTACGGCATTCTACGTATGTGAGTTTACGTATGAGAAACTCACACATGAATTTCTCAGCTCCTTTAATTATAAAACATGTCGCTTAAGTCATAATTCTAATTATAAAACACGCCGCTTGAGCCATAACTCTATCGAGACTGCTAAGGTTCAAGGTTTCTCTGTACCTTTAGTTATAAAACACGTCGTTTGAGCCATAACTCTAGTTATAAAACACGTTGAGCCATTAGAGAGTTAAGGTTCAAGATGTTTGGCCGCGAATACCAAATATTATTGATAAATAAATAAAAAACTCAACTTTATTCCCTATGAAGAAATTGAGACTCTTCTAGATCATGAAGCTCGTCTTGAGCATTTTTCACAAATTAACAACACCATCAATTGATATTTGCTTCTTTTGAATTGAATAATGCGGATTGTGACCAATATTCAAACCATAACTTATCAACGTGCGCCTAAGTTCTTCAAATAACTCAATTCAAGTTGTAATTTTAGATCAAGAGTTTTCCTCGTTGTGCTTGATATTATTCATGTTTTACACCTGTCAATTTAAAATAAAGTACATATAAATTTTGAGCTTGGAACAAGAATAATACCTAGAGAATTCAACAAGTTTAAACGGCTAATAATCATATAATCTAAACATTGCATACTAAAACTTTTATATAAAAAATACTTTGATACAGCAAGATTAGAAAAGGGAGGAAATTATCTATTTTATATAATATTTACAAAGAACAATAATTCCTATGTTGCTGTCTATGCTACTGATCTCTGACCTATACAATATCCAAGCCTAAACCAAAATTCCAAAGTAAGAATGAATGATCCGAGACTAAACTATAACCACAATTCACATAATCTTCATGTCAAGTGTCAAAGAGGCCATGTTATCAAATTTCACTGTCTTAAGCTGCCACCAAAAAAGCTACCAACAATGACGCCAGCTCACATGGAAAAAATTACCATTTCAAAAAATTAAAATTATATTTCTATGTATGTTCCTAATCACATCATGAACAAGTATTTTAAATCATCCACAGTAAGGCGGCTTTGTCGACCACCAGTTTCATCCTCTCCAAATGCAGACGCAACCATCTTTCGCTTCTTTTGCTGCAAATATATCAAAGATCATATCATCGTGTCAACAACCAGAAATTCTGTGCCAACAATGAAGATAGCAGCTTACATGGAATGAAACCAAGAAAAATACCTGCAGAGCTAAAATACGGTCTTCAACCGTATCTTTGACAGTTAAACGCAAAACTGTAACCGGACGAGTCTGTCCAATTCGATGCGCTCTGTCTATGGCCTGATCTTCAGTTGTAGGATTCCACCAAAGATCTAGCATGAGAACATGGCAGGCTGCCACCATGTTCAGACCAAGACTAGCAGCCTTCAAGGACATTATCATAACTGTTACCTGAAAGACAAAATTCATAAGGTTTCTCTGTGAGGTTGACTCAGTAACAATACTCATGACATGAAATATATAGAACTTCAAGCATTGATATTATCTATGACTTTACAAACCTCAGGGAGAGTGTTAAAATCCTTAACAGCTTTATCTCTTGCAATGACAGACATTGTTCCATCAAGTCTTCTATACTGAATTGAAGAATTCTTAAGACACGCTTCAAGTAAATCTAGCATCCCCGTCCACTGAGAAAACACTATAGCTTTCTCCCCTAGAGAACCATTTGCACCGTCAGAGCTTTTCTCCATTAGCATAGTTTTCTTTTTGGGAACATCACTATTTCCACTGTCAGCAGAAGTGGAGCTGCAATCAGTACTTTCCTTAGAAGTGCTCCGCACACAATTTTCTTGGGATGTACGGCATTGTGGCTTAGACAATGACTGCAACACCTCAAGTGCAGCTTTTATTTTTGAAGAATTATATGGCTTAGTCTGAGAACAAGGTTCAGAATCCTCGGCCTCAGAACCAGAGTAACCAAGTAAAAGATCACAAGACTGATCAGATAAAGAACTGTTCAGTGTGGCTTTGGGAAACACTGAAGACATGCTAAGCCGAGTTTTGCAGTTTGTAGCAGGGCACTGATTGTCCTCGCCAGTTAGATGTTCACAGATGCACTGGTTACAGAAAACATGACCACAGACTGAAACAACAGCATCTTCAGGAGCATCCTGCATAAAATAATGTGATAAGAATGTTAAAGCAGAGAAGAAAATGTACCAAAATACACTTTGTCAAGAGAAGTGGCAATCAAGATGATGCATTAATTATGAAATATAGAATCATGTATTAATATAAAAATACATCACAATATTACCTATAACTTCAACTTCTATAAAGAAAAGGTTTTAAAAAAACATTCTCAATTCACTATCCTGTTTATCTTGAAAAGCAAGGGGAAAACAGAAAACGAGTATATCCCTCATTTTAAGTCCGCTGAATTTCCACCTTTTCAATTACCCCCACTCGCCTTAAAATAGTACATAACTACAACAACCACACTCTAAAATTATATATATATATATATATATATATATATATATATATATATATATATATATATATATATATATATATATATATATATAAAGCACGAGCAAAGCAAACGTACATTACAGATACCACACAGAGCCAAGGAAGCCTCTAAACATTTCAAAAGAAATAGCTGTTTTTCCCGAGGAAGCTTCATGGCCGTCTCAACTGAAGATTTCCATAGAGTAGTAGAATTGTATCGCTTAACAAGCTGAGGGTGGTCGCAGGCTTGTCTAAGGCGCAAAAGCATCAATAAAATGTTGACATAGTTTTGCTTCACAGTACCAGCATTGGCGTATTCCTATAACATGCATGCAGAAACAGAAACTCAATAAGGGTTTCAAATAAAATAAGTTTCAGGCAGCAATCATCTTGCTGTGAAAATAAACAGGGCTAATATCCTAATCTTTCAAAACCTTTTAAAGGAGTAAAGATAGACTGTACCTGAAACTGTGCACGTGAATCAGCCTCCAGCTTGGAATAGAAATCACGTTCCTCCTCTGAAAATTCCACTTTTTTCAACTCCACAGATTTAGGTGGCAAAGATATAATAGGCTCCCCATCAAGAAGTGAGCCTACAGAAAATGATCACACTTGCATGGTCACAAACAAATTTTCAATCTAACGCCAGCGATTCAATCGAATGAATTCTTGCATATTAAACTTGCTAACAATGCAAGAAAAGAAGAATGTAAAATATATCATCAAAACATGTTCCAAATTTAATTTCTATCACATAGAAGGGAGTGTATAGCTAAGTATTAGATATCACAAAAATAATTATTTTGTCAGAGAGAACAATAATCTCGGATAATAATTAACTTACTAATGTGATGATCTAAAATTCTCACATGCAAATCTTACCTTTTGTCCGACGTAGCATGATCGTCTTTAAGATAGTTTGCAGCTTTCTGTACCCTTTTGATGGATTTCTGCTGATAGGAATCTTGATTGTTGAACAGAATGATGTGTACACAGCATAAGGATCATATCTTAGAAATCTAAAGTAACTGTAGAGATCATCAATTGAATTCTGGATTGGAGTTCCGGACAAGCACCATCTGCGCTTAGCTCGAAGACCCCAGCAGGCTCTTGCAACTTGAGTTCTGTGATTCTTTATACTTTGGGCCTCATCCAGGACAACTCTAAACCAGGCTACTTTTGCAAGAGGACGTGCAGCATCCTCAAGCATCATGCTGTCCAAACCTTTCTTCTTGCCGCTTTTTGAACTAGGAGGGCATTTCCTTTTCTTACTCGGCATAGCATGATCTTCATAAGTTTCTTTTTCTCCGTCATCTTTGTCAACCAGAGGCTGCTTAGGGACCTCCATGCTAACAATTGAATATGTAGTCAGAACAACATCATACTTGGCAAGCTCACAAGGATCTTTGGTTCGACTGCTTCCATGGTACACAAGCACAGAGAGATTTGCTTTGCAAGTTACTTTATTATGCAATTCGTCAGCCCACTGTCGCAGGACACTAGTTGGACAAACAACAAGGGTTCCTGCAGATGGCCTGCCCTTTGTGTTCACCGAAAAATTCACACCTGTGATTGCATTTCTGTTGGGTGTATCTTGACACATGTTAGACTCCTTTTTCACTACACCATTCTCAGGAAGTGGGTCATCATCCAAATCCAAGGTTTCTAGTACATTTTTTTGTGCACTTTTGCACGTCTTGAGCAATGAAGGCCTTTCCTTTAATATTAAAGAAATAGTTGACACTGTTTTCCCAAGACCCTGCAAGAGAAAAGCTATTAAATCAAGTCATTCACAAGGAAATCAAATGCTTGTTGACAGCCAACAACCATCCCAAAAAGGAAACAGTGCGCACACCTGATCATCCGCAAGAATTCCTCCGGAACAGTATAAACTTGATGTTTCCTTCTGAACCATCCACGATAAAGCAATTCTCTGACACAACAATTTCTATCAGTTGGATGACCCAGTGATACAGAGTAAGCAAGTCATCAGGATATCAAAACAAAAATTAGGGGGATCACAGGAACACGCTGAACCGAATCACACAGGAAAGCAAATGTGTGATGCAAAAATATTCAATTTCATCTTAGGGAAAAAGCACCGTAGTTTAAAAATTTGGAAACAATTATCAGATAAAATAATAATTGAAACTCTGATTGATATCTCCTATCTTCAAAAACAAAGGTGTCTAAAATTGACAGAGGTCGAAACCATAAACAAAACCAGAACACCACTAACTATTGGTTCCTAGGCTCATATGGTTACTCAGATTACTATAGCAGCAATGATGCAGTGACCAAGGGTCAAGATAGGAATCTAAATTGTACCAACCTGCAAACATAGCAGGTAGGGGTGGTAAGGGTGTGTAAGGCAAAGAGAATGAGGGATGGAACGTGTACAGTTGTCAGTAAGAATTTGGAGGTTAGGGCAGGGAAGAAGCAGACCCATAAAAGGCACTGCAATATGTCTATCTTGTGTTTTCTAATTCATTGAGATTGCAAGCAAGAAACCTGTGATACAATTCATTAATTAATAAGATGAATGAATAGATCATAAAAACAATCCATTTCTGGCTTGATTGGAAAATCCCAGATCCAGACCATAAAACCCACATTCCCATTTGTTTTAATTTGAAAGCGGTTCTATGGTATGGGAGACCTAAATGCACATATAATAACATTTTTTAAAACAACTATAAAAATATTTAAAAGAATGAATTTGTAAAGTAACCTGGTGACGTAAAAGAGGAACTGCCAACAGCCCATCTGGGGGGCTAACTTCTGACTTTGGCTGAGACAGATCCTGCAATCAATCAATTACAAAGTAAGTTCTTCAGACATAGGACATGGTAAACAGATATATTTTAAACTGTCCGACAAATCATGCTAATAAGTTTAAATTTAGGCAAGAAAGGGGGAGAAACCAATGTTATAAAAACCGGACCGATGATCAAACTAGCAAGACTGAAGTCATGGTTTAACTAGTTCAACCAGATAGTAAATAAATAAATTTAGGGTTAAATTATATATAAATATGAATCATAATAATAAAGATTATAGTTAGTCTCAATATTTTAAAAAATTAGGCACAAGTATGATTTCAAAAAGATAGTTTATAAAAAGGAGTAATAATATACCAGAACGTTAGGCCCAACATTTTTACTTTTAAAACCCTAATTCATTAACTAAATCATCTTCTCTTTCTTTTTTTTAGAGTACCCCACAACCACATGGAACCCCTCATCCCTTCATATGCAATCTTCTGAGTTCTAGGAAGGAATGATCGGAATTTGAATGATAGTGATAGTGATGATAATAAGCTACATGCAAGAAAAATCCAACTTCACTACAAGCTCTACACATTCTGAGATTAGAAGAGTTTTTTTAATGCTTACTTTGGAATCTGGTTCACTAGTTCACTGGTTTTCCAGTTATTGACGGTTTAGTCTGGTTTTTTACCGGTTTTGACAGACTATCATGACCAATAATAATTATCAGTAAGAACAAAATGATTTGACATCATGACCAAAAACAGGGGGGAAATAAGTTGTGCATGTGAAAAGAATACTCTAATAATTGCCAAAGTAAAAGTGCCAACCTGCAATGCAGCTCGTAATATGTACTGCTCGTCGCGTGGCTTTGGTCGTGTGCCTCCCGCCATATACGGTTTGGTATAGTCAAACCTAGAAGATTGTGACATATTATAAGAATTATTGAGTTCAGCAGATCGACTTCTAGGTGCAGGGTGACTGATGTCTTCAATAATGCAAACATCGCAGTCATCTTCGTCATTCGATCCCTCATTACTTCTTTTGGAAAGTTGAGAATCATCAATACTTTTATATTCACTTGGCTTACTCTCTAGTTCGCTCATACCACAATTATACTGCTTCCCGTTGGTAATTGATGCCCGGGCAATAGATAGAGATTTGTCTAAGGATCTGAAATTCAAATTTTCTGTATTTCCTGGAAAACATTTAGCAGTTTCATCGATAAAATCTTGATAATAATTGCCATCCTCGGTTGTTACGATTATGTCACTATCCTCATCCTTCAAAAAATCATAATTCTGACATTCAATGGTAGGGAAAATACCAGGTAATTGTTTCACCCCAAGACCAGTATTTAACTCAGCATGGTCATTGTGAAAAGTATTTTGGAAAGGCATACCCATTTCATCTCCTTCAGCTTTGACATTAAATGACTGGCCTTCACAAGAAATATATGGAGCACAAGATGACTGTTGCACTGATTCACTGTCTTCAAATATAACATTACCAGGAAAAAATGAAGGATATTCACTGTCTGTTGGCAAAAATTGCCTGTCCTGAAAAGGGACCGAACCACCGGTATTCAAATGCATGCCACCAATTATATTTGCAGTATCAGTTAAAAACTCCATTTTTTCAACCTTCACGTTCCTCGTTGCCTCTTCATTTTTCCAGAATTCAGGACAAACACCATTAGGCAAATAAGCAGAACTGTCAGTAACAACAGGTCTAGCATCTATACCCTGGTAACAATTCAAAGATGAATAGTAGCCACTAAAATCACTAGGAGCATCGGAACCTTGACAAAAAGTAGAATCAGTTGAAGTTCCAAAATGTGCAGGCATGTCAACATCCACAAACGGCATTTCAAAAGTTGTACATGAATCATTTTCCTGCTGCCTAGAAACTCCAATAATCTCCTTCAAAGCTGATCCATAATTTGCAAAAGTTCCATCAACATTCTCAATGATGGAGCTGTGTGAAGCATCTGCAAGCAGAAAAAAACAATCAGACAAGTGGCAAAATTCAACTGACAGAGATATGAAGCTTTTTAAAGAATGATGGAAAAGCCAATATCTTAATCTAAGTATAACCCAGTGAAGATTTCGCATACATTCGGATTCTACATCATCTGCCACATGCTTCATTTGGCTAGTATTGTGACCCTTCCACAGACTCGAGTTCAAATTATCTCTACAAACAGTTACAGCATTTGAGTTTGCTTCAGCAAAACTTGTGTCTGTACTGTAAAAAGGCATCTCACGTTCAGAAACTCCTGCCCCTTCTGCATAGCAAGTTTCGTCACTTTCAGCAATAGAGAAGGAGTCCCTGTAACCACCAGCAAAAGCATTTGGGGAATAGCAGGTCTGTGATGAAGGTCCTTGGTTTTCATGTTCGTAGTCAAGCATGGAAGAATTCCCTGCAGAATCAGATGAATGAGTTGAGCCAAGGGTCCAAGAATCTTATTCATCTGAGCAGAATTTAGAACAGCCTGACTGAATCTACTAAAGTAAAAGCTAGGAAGAAGTGGTTATTCAATCACTTAAGAGCCTAGGCAATAACAATCTACTCTATAATATTAGCAACTACGTATTGCACATAGCAAGTTCAGAAAGTAAAAATAAACTCAAGAAAATTCCAATGCCACAAATTAACCAGACCAATTACAACCAACAAGGACAAGAATCAATGACCATAAAAAAGGCCACCAAAATTTACATACCATTTTGAAGTAAAAAATTATCATGGGTCCCAGATTCACCAGGTGAAACGTCTTTCAATGAAGAATCCTCGTGACTACTCTGCAGCATTATATGCAGAAAACTATTATAATTGGTGAGATACACATGAATTTGGCCAACCAAATTCGAAATGCTTTTAAGGCATGTTCAAACAAAATACAAAGAATATCAACATGAATGGCATATTATTTTAGAGAAACATAAAAGTAACATAAGCTGTGACTTCCTGCCTAAGTGAATCAAAACTAACAACCTATTCGGCACTCTGATTTTAACTAAAAAAATGCCCCAAGAGACTGACAATCTATTCAGCACCTCCGAATTTAACTCCAAATATGAGTAAAGCGACACCACATAGAATTGTAAAAAATATATCAATTATCCTTCTACATTACGATAAAGATATAAAGATCAAAAGTACAGGAAAAATAAATTTATTTCTTTATGTAAATGGTGTAAAGATGAAGACATACAAACCAGCAGCAGTAATTTCAAGGAATTTTTCATCTTTTAAATATCAAAGAAGGCTATAGGGATGGGGATTTTTCATTTTTTCATCTTTCTCTAATTTTAGCAGAATTTGTTGGTTAGAGAGTAGCAACCATCCGAATCTCCAAAAAATTGCACTGTTTTAAAAGGGAGTTCTCACTAAAAGTTACCTTATAAACATATTGCACTGTTTTTCTACTAGACTAAATAGCTTCAGAGCTGCTTATTCAGTATATATATGAATGAATGTGACTGAAATTTTCAAAGCTGTACAACTCATAATGAAATACCTTATAGACAATATAAAATATATATATACTCAAATTGGCCAATAGATTCCCATTGTTTTGAATACAATTACTTCACTGGAATGTGTAGTCCCTTCCAAGTTTTTTACTAACCGAACCGAAAATATACAGATCAAAACAACCGGAAAAAAACTAAACAGTAAAATCTCAAACGAAAATAAAACAGCCAAAATTTTACACTGCGAATCCCACCATCCTATATAATCAATGACAAAACAGCCATGCAACGAGCTTCAAATCGTGAATATTTGAATTCTAAACCAAATCGGAACTCTAGTAACCTCCGGTCACAGCATTTGAAAAATTGATTGGCATAGGGTTTTCTTTACACACTCAAATCAAGCACAGACACCACAATGACCAAGTCCAGTAACCGTACCTCAGAAGGATCACAATCTTCGTCAAGAACGCTGAGAAAGGATTCAATATCCATTGCAAGCTTTTCGTCATCGGAATCATCTCCATCATCCCCAAACAGTGTCGGAAATTGAAATTCATCATTAGCCATGGTCACCAACAAGCCAACAAGCTCAATCGAATCGAAACCCTAATTCGCTTTATCTAAACCGTTACCGCAAAACAAAAACCTCCGGCGCCGATTCTCGAAATTGAAAAGCAGCGCGTTGAATCGCATTCTCCGAAGAGATTAACTAGCGTGTAGCAGTTTCGTGAAGAATCAACGGAGGTTTCTGAGAAGGTTCGTGATGCGACTTTTTTTTTCGTTTAGAGAGAGAAAGATAGAGAGAGAAAGAAAAGGAAGACAAAGTTGATCGTGGATTGTGTGAAGTTAGGTTTAAATAGGGTTTGGGGTACGTAAAGGGGGTGCGCACGTTAATGAGGCGTGCGCTTTACGATGATTGGGTTTCTTATTCAATTTTATAGTGCGCGCGGTAATTGAGCCTCTACGACGCCGTTCTATTCAAACACTTTAGTGATGAATATAGTATCAGTGATGAGTCATTTTCGAATTTTCAGTTTCTGATTTTCAATTTTTTTTTTTTACCGTGGGTGATTTTTTATTATCCATTGAATTTTGAAGGATTTTCTTGATTTGGTGAATTTTTAAAAATCAATACTTAAGGAAAGTGCGAACCTATAGCATTTTATTTATTTATTTTCGAAATTTCTGTCTATTTCACCGAGAAAAATGTTTAAATTGGAAAATTTTAGTTTTTCTTTGTATTGTTAAATTTAAGTTAAAATGGTATGTACAAAAAATTAATAGAAAATCACTATTTAATTTTCCGTTATTTTAATATCAATGCATATTTATATAAGAGAAAAATTTTATTCTAGAAAAATAATTAAAGTTGTTTGGTTGTCGGTCAAAATTTACTTTTTATATAAATATATGGAATATCATATATTCATCGTGAAATTGGTATTTTCATATATTTAAAAATAAAAAGTGATAATAATTATAATATAACTTTACTTAACATGTAAGATTTGTACGGCACAGGTGATATGTGTGCACCAATATGTACTTTTTTTACAAATTTGAGACATAAATTTAAAAAATAAAAGAGTATTTAATAAAACTGATATTATTTGATTTTGAAGTATAAATAAATAAAGAATGTTTAAAAGATTATATTTATAATACATAAAACATACTAAGTCATAGTAAATTGAATATGTTTTTAATGAAAAATAAACACCTAATACATAGATTTATGCCATATAAATCACACGTATTTTCAGTATAATTATAGCTGATATTAATATCAAATATTTGGTCAAAAATAGACAACAAATTATTCTATGATTTTTTTATAGCAAAGAGTAATTAACATAAACAACATACGATTGATTAAAAAAATTAATAATAATAATAATAATAATAATAATAATAATTATTATTATTATTATTATTATTATTATTATTATTATTATTATTATTATTATTATTATTATATAACTGTATACAAATATGTGAATAGCTATAAAAAAAAATGAAAAAGTTGATGAAACTAATAGATAAGAAATAAAATTTTGTTGAATATAATTTTGATCTAAATGACATTATAAGGATGATAATTATGTTACTATCTTAGTTTGATTAGCAAAAATCAATATTATGAAGTTCAACATCACGTTGAGGTTTAAACCTGAAATCTTATAATTACTGGTACTAATTTTTTAATAAGTTATTATTATTTCATATATAAATAAATAAATAACCAACCAAGATGAGTGTATCATTATTAATGAATCAAACTTCTAAAATTAGAAGAGATGAGAATAATGAAACAAATATATTAAAACTTTAATCTTAAAAATGAGACTTTAAAATTGTTTAAATAAATAAAATATGAGAAAAGCATTTCAAGTAAAAATTTTAAACTATAATAAATTTTTATTTATACTTTTTGTTTTTACCATCAGTATCCACTTGATCGATTATTCTGATTTAGAGGTCTGATATCAGGTGATTTCATCCTCTCCTAATCGCAGTTGCGAGAAATTAAATTGTGGTTCTTTCTATCAAATTCAAGATCAATCACCAATAAATCGATTAATATTTTATAAAATAGTAAACTATCTAACTCACACGGGAAAAATACATTCAAACAAATAAAAAGAATCTAAATTGAATGTTGCATAATCTACATTGAAGTCTAAATAAATTAAGATGATAACAAAAATCAATTAAACATGGTGGCATACTAAAAACTATACATAAATTAAATAATGCAACAATAACATGCTAAGGGATGGAAAAAAAAATCTATCTACGGATATATATACTAAAAACTATGCATAAATTAAATAATGTAATAATAACATGCTAAGGGATGAAAAAAAAATCTATCTACGGATATTCGCAGATAAAATCTGCCACGAATATAGGATAATATTTTAATAGATATATGCGAATAAAATAAATAGATATTTAAGTAATTGTTCTTTAATTGATATGGATATAATTTTCATGATAATTGTGCATTGGATATTCATATCCGTTAACTAATTATAAAAATTATTTAAATATTATTAGTTTATTATACTTTATTTTTTTATATTTTAAAAAATTATTAAAATACTTGTGCGTTTGCACGGGTACCAATGTGTCACGCATACTTGTTTTTAAAAAGTTAGAAGAATAAATGAAAGAAAAATAATTTCATGTAAGCAAAAGAGTCTTTTATTTTTAAAAGGAAGAAAAAAAATTATTTACATTTAGATCATAAATAAAAATTGTTTATATATTAAAATAGTTGGATTAATTGTATATCATCGCGTATGTAAATATTATATTTATTGTGACAATAAATATCAAAAAATTGGATAAATTATTTGCATTAACAAAAAAAAATTAAATATTCAATCTTTAATATAGAAAAAATTATCATAAGAAAGGAGAAAAAATAGCATTAAAAATCCAAAATTTCCTATAATATAAATGTAATAGGGATGAGGAGAAAAAACAAATATTTTAGATAAATAAAAGCAAGAAAAAAATACAATAAAAATATAATATATAAAGATAAAGTATGTAAAAAGTGCTAAAAACATTTGTAAGTAGTATATAATTTGTTTTTCAAGTTTCAAATATGAGGGCAAAGCCTCATATACTAGATATTCGGGTTTCGGTGATGTCAAAACTCAGTCGCATGGAAGAAGAGATGTTTGGCGTTATCACCGCAATGCATAAGCATACCATATTTGTCATGTTTCATTTGCTTGCACAACACATCTATAGTACTGCATTTTGTAGTATAAGAATATGCGTCATACGAGTTAAAATCTCATTGATCGTCATAGGTATCATCTAAGTATGTCAAAAACATCAAGATTATGCAATTTCTAAAAATACAGGTGTTTGAGTCGACCACACCGTGCTCCGGTCGACTCATAACAAGTGTCTAAATTTTGCAAAACTCTCGGGATAGGTATGGTCGACCTATCGGTCGACGCATACTGTTGTCAATTCTGTTTGTCAAAAAATTCAAGCTTTACGTCGACGCATAGCCTTGTTCCGGTCGACGCATAGCAGGTTATTTTGCATAGTCTGTGTTGCTTGGGGTAGCTCAGGTCGACCCTTCCCTCTGTATGAGTCGACCGTTTGTTGTTTGCTGCATAATTTTGGCATGTCTATCATTTTTGAAAAGTGGTTTTGTCAGTTATTTTTGGTCTGATATAAATAAAAAATTGCTCATTTCATTTAATAACAATTGAGTCAATTAGAAAATAAGAAAAGTGAAAGAGGTGCCAATTGAAGCTCTCATCATCTTCATCTTCTACATTTCATACCACAACAATCACACACAATAATATTTGTTGTGCATTATGGATTGTTTGAAGTGATAACGTCTAAAGCCGTTGATTGGGAATCCGGTTCGAGTTGAGATTTTGGCAGGTTTTTCTTGAATAAAACCTTTAGAGTTTTGTCCTCCAAGATTCTCTGAATTTGGGGGGTTTTGGTATGAATTTTCTCAACATATATTCAGTTGAGCGAAGATGATCGAGGAGCGATGGGTTTCGTCGATCTAGTAGCGGTAATCGGTGAATTGTGATGGAGAAGTTTGGGTTCGATTAGCGAGTGTTTGAGATCAGTCGGGCTGGGGTTTGAAGACGTAAGGTTGTTCAAACAAATAGCTGTAATCGGAGGTTCATCCACAAGCTATTGATGGACTTGATTCGACTCGAATCAAGGGACAATAAGAGAAAGCATCTTCAACAACAAGAGAGTTTGTTTGTGCATTTGCTATTCTATTTTTGTATAAATGATTCTACAACATGTTACATTTATATTATACGAGCTCAATTCTATTGTTAGAATTGAAGGCAGACGTACCCCGAAGTGAGGACGGCGGAGGAACTGCCTCAACAAATCCTTATGCCTTTTACATTACGCTTTTACATTTGCTTAATATTTCCGTAATTTTTGTACAAACAATTATATCAAATTTATGACTGTTTTGAGTAAGTGCTGAATTAATTTTGACTCTAGTACAATAGTTTATTGTACAAGGAAACTAAAGCTACTTACTCAAAGCCGAACTCACTTGGAGTGTTCCGTACGCGAAGTGTTTGATAAATTATCTGAACCAAAATTCTCGTGTGTTGTCCATTTATTTTGTTGGCATTTTAAGGCATTGGGACTAGTCATACCAAGTAGTGATCTAAATCAAATTAGTAGTGTGACTAGTATGGTGATTCTCATTTCTCATTATCAATTTCCATAGGCTAGACGCATATCTGGTTTTCTAGTAACGGTTCGTTATAGATGGTAATTTTTCCAGGGCCGCTTCCGCAAATTAACCAAAATTTTAAAACCAATTTTATAGGTAGCGCCGACTCATTTTTTAACAAGGGATCTATTCAACCCCCTCTTCTAGATTCGCGCCATCGTCTAACAAGTGGTATCAGGAGCACTGGTTCACTACGTGCTTCAAGTATAACTTTGTAGAAAATGGATAACGAGCCTAAATGGGCCTATAATAGAGCTCCTGTTTTTAATGGAGAAAATTACAGTTACTGGAAAGACTGTATGCGGGTGCA